CTGGCTGTAGCTCAGATGGACATCTCAGGCCTCCAAATTTCAAAGCTCCACAGGGAATACCAATCATGACTGGTCCTCATAGTAGATATATCACATATAGAAAGAGCTGTAAATGTGAACTCAATCGTGTAAATTGAAGAGATGACAATTCCAAATTCAGAATGCAATCAAGGTTTTATGCAGATGAAGCTTGCCATGGTTCCAACTTTCCAGCACTACTAAATGTATCGTCTAAGTGGAATTCTCATTGCTCTTCGCAATGTAAAGCTTCAGTGAAGGGATTCGCTAGCCTATGGTGATGTGAAATTCACTTTTCATTTGTTTTTGTTTTTTTTTTTTCTCCTCCTTTATTTGGCATGTGATGCATGATCCTAGCTAGTGCATGCCACTGGAGCAGATGGTGAACGTGACCTTATAGTGTTTTGGTTTCCACCAGGGGGCGACACCGGAGGACTTCAGCAACCTGCCACCTGAGCAGAGGCGGAAAAAGCTGCAGCAAAAGGTTGACGAGCTAAATAAAGATATCCAGAAAGAGATCGATCAGAGGTAAGGAACACCATGGCCATCTTATGGGACCTTTTGTTTATAAAGCAATCAAAGAGGGGTGCAAGTTCACAGCCTGTTACTTTGCAGCAGCCAACCCATATACAGGCCAGCCACTTACATAATGATCCGGGAAAGCTTTATTTAGGTTTATTCACTTTGTAAATAAGATGTAATAGGATGAGCTCTCACAGTGCGTATAAAAAGCTGCAGATAGAGCCCACCTTTCCTGACTGGAGGACTTCCAACATCATCTAGTCTTTCCACCCCAGCCTTACAGTCCCTGGTCTGCCCCTTCCATTAAAATGTAGTACTTTCAATTACAGAGGCTCAGCATTACACAGTGGCATTACCTAGAATGTCTACACACAAATGCAGTCTGCTTAGGAATGCCCACTGCTCCAGACTCCCTTTACCTATCATGGCATTTGTTATTTGCATAACTCTTCCAAAGATCCAGCCCACTGTGTGCTTCAGGACTCACGGCTCTTGAGAATAGTACCGAAGCAGGGTGATGTGGTGTTTTCAGGAAGCTATATACAGCACCTTGCTGGCCCTTCCCACCAGCCGTCATTTGCTTGCATTGCATAGAGATGCACAGAGACCTTGTGATGATATCACTGAGTCTAAAAAGGTGGGAAATGAAAATGGAAGTTTTCTATATGAAAAAAATTAACTAGGATGTAGATGAGGGGGAAGACAGAACCAGGGAGGGCAAAATATAAGTAGACCTCAACGTTAATGATGCCAAAATGACATATACAATTTTTTCTGATGTAGCACACCACAATTCACAGTATGTGTGTTACAATTGCACTGTGCTGCAGTAACGTGGTAAAGATCATACTTGCTTCACAATATCACAATACATAAGTGTATCCTTAAAAATGGGGGGGGGGGGGGGGGGGGGGGGGGGGGGGGGGGGGGGGGGGGGGGGGGGGTTGGTCTCTTTTAACTGACGAGGCTGAAGTCCAGGGTTATAAAAATGTTAACTTTTGAGAGATATGAGAAATGAAAGCAATGTTACAAGTCATAGAAAATAACAACCATCCAATAAAATGATGCCAGATATAACGTTTTATCACTGCCTACAAATGCTGTCTTCAGGGGGTCTTCCATAGAAACTTTCTACTTGTGCTTTTGAATTTTTACTATCCTCTACATAAAGCCCGGTCAGCCAACATTTGATCCATATGTGGGCAGGTTGGTTGTACTAAAGTTGATCCATCAATTGACTTCATTACAACCAGCCTGTAGGATTTTTTTCATGCGATCATTGCCATCAACTACAGCCGCCAGTAGTGATCGTTGTGTTCTTCCGGCAGGAATGTTTCCCACCAGCAGAACACAATAGCTTTGCAGGAGGGACTCCCACATCAACACAGTCAGTTGAATCGAGCATTTGTTTTCCTTTCACCCGCGGCTTTCTTTAGGCTGACACATTACTGTACCAGTAACTGATCTAGGTGAGGAGGGGCCTGATATCTTGTTCATCTTAAGCTGGCCATAGATGGATCTAAATTCAGCTAGTTCAACAGGGGTCAGCCACATTTCGACCCATCTATGGCCGTTTTCATTCATGAGAAAGTTGATCTAAAATTATTGACTTCTCACCAACAGGCTTGTTAGAAAATGTATGTTTAATACATTGATCAGCACTGCAGCCAATTGGCTGCAGTGCTGATCAATGTATCTTGACAGCAGGGAGTCCCCCACTGTCAGAATACCATACAGTTAGGAGGATTCCTCCATCCACCTTCCATGTGTGGATGGAGGAATCCGTTCAGTTTATTTCAATTGGTCTGCTGGCTGATCGAAAAAATCTGACCCATGTATTCCCAGATTTAATATTTAATAGGAAAGCACGGTGTATTTGTAGTGAGCACTAAAATTTTAAAACATTTAGCCCTGGTTCACACTGATGCAGTGTGGAATTTGCAGCGTTTCCTGTGCGGATTCCGCACCGCATCAGAATTGCACCCCATTCATGCAAACAGCTGCGGGCGTGTATGTTACATTAACGACACCCTGAAATCGGTCCGCAAAACGCGGTGCAATGTGCAGAATCAGATCACATAGGTGTGAATACCTATGCGATCAGATTCTAGTGTGGTAGACAGGAATTAGTAATTATGGCAAGAAATCTCAGTGATGGAATATTAAAGACATATAAGAAGCAAGGTGCTGATTCAGCTTACCAGGCTCCACATATAGGAAGCAGAGCATGCATGTGCAATGAATGTCTGTCCCCATGTAAATATATCATTACAAATTATACATTGAAACAAGAGTTTTCTAACATTACAACACATCATAAGTACTATTTACATCAGCCTGATCTTTTTGATATGAGTATATAAACGTATTAAAAAGATTATAGGTTCACTTTAAGCCTTACTGAGCTGAAGATATAAAGTAGCCATCTTGTCCCTTATCCACCTTAGTGTCCTTCCATATGTATTTGTATGAACTCCATCTTCAGCTATGGCTCTGGTATCTGTCCCACATACTAAAGAATAATAACTGGTTATTCTTGAAGCCAGGACTGTTTTTTATAATAGTTACATAGTTAGTCTGGCTGAAAAAAAAGACAAAGGTCCATCCAGTTCAACCAATAAAAAAAAGTTATAATCCTATACCCACAGTTGATCCAGAGGAAAGCAAAAAAACCCAGCAAAGCATGATCCAATTTGCTCCTGCAGGGAACAAAAATCCTTCCTGATCCCCCAAGAGGCAATCTGATATTCCCTGGATCAACTTTACCTATAAATGTCAGTAATGCCAAGTAGATGTAAACCTAACCACTAAAATCTCATATAATCTTACAAGATAATTTAGAAGTTGATTTTAATATTTCTAAATATGCAACTTTCTGTGTAAAATATTGCAGATATGTCACGGAAGTAGTTGTTAATGCCCTTCATGCCCTCCCAATTATGCTGTATTGTCACACGGTTACATACACCCCAGATGGGGGCTACAATTGGCTGCGCTGACACACGTCACACGGGCCTTTCTCTACCATGGCCCCTATCGGGAAGCCAGCCCTGAGCTATCACTTGCAGCTGATGCTGGAAGAGATCATGTAGACAGGAAGTGGTTGAAAGAGTCTGGAGATGATCAGAAGAGCTGAGATGCAGAGGATGACAGAAATGGTAAGAATACACACTGTGCTGAATGACATCTAGTTTAGGTTTAGGTCTACTTTAAGCAAGTAGCCCATGGTGGGTTTGATCCTTAAACTCAGGTGCAAAATGAACCAGAAGCCACAGTAGCCAGATTTCAGTTTCAAAATACTTGTAATGTTTTTGACTACCCCATGTTTATAAATGGGCTCTACTATATAGTCCTTTTTCCTTTTATTTGTAACACAGGGATGCCTTGACGAAGATGAGGGACGTGTATCTGAAGAATCCACAGATGGGAGATGCTGGCAGTGTCGGTCAAAAGTTGATAGAGATTGGAAATAACATTGAGAAACTACGTGTGGAAGTACAAAAGTTTGAAGTGAGTATACATGTTCTCCTTGTCATATCAGATAGAGAAGGGACATTTTACACCAAGCCCTACTTCCCAGAATTCCTTACTAAAAGGGTTGGACAGACTTTCTCTAGCTATTTTTTTTTTTTTTACTCAAGCTTCAAATTGAGACCATTTTAACCAGGCTATATAACTATTCACCTCAGCCTTCTTCAAAATTCCTTAAAACAAACTCTGTTCTTTGCAGGGAAAAACAACATGTTCACTCTAAAGCCCAACTCTGGGCACCCCCCCCCCCTTTTCCCTATGTTCCCTTGCAGTGGGGTTGTGCCTACACTGCAAGGGTTAACTGCTCGTTTTTGTCCAGCGGATTAAAGAAGTGAGATATACTCCTCCGATTCCTCCAGCATAAGACCGATACCTTCGGCTCCTCCTGCGCCTCCAACCACTACCCCCCCTGCGATCCAGCAGTCTTGTGCAGTGGACTGTTCCTGATGTCATCACACCCACAGACCTGCTCTGGAAAAAGGGACATCAGGAACAGTCCACCGCTGGATTGTGGGGGAGCGGAGGATCAGGTGAGTATTGGCTTTCTGTTCGCCCCTGTACAAAATGAGCAGTTAACCCATGCAGTGCGGACACAGCCCCACTGCAAAGGAAAACTTTTTTTGCCCAGAGTTAGGCCTTAATGGTGGCCCCATTGGGTCGCACTTCTCTCCTGTCCGAGAGGGTCCTCAGCTATGTGACTTGGCACTTACACTAGATGTCCTCTCTTCTCTCATAGCAGCTGGACATTGTAACTGTCCACTTTAAAGAAAACCAGCACTGAGGGGAGGTATGTAGGCTATCATTGCTTAGCTCTCCTAAAAATCCTGTATGCCTTAATGAAGATTCCATGGTGCCAGTTTTTCTGAGGCACTGATCTGGAGCAAGCACAGATCAAAAGTTTTCACTTTACAGTGACCCCACTTGCTGCATGCCTACTATCCCAGGTCAATGATTTACAGAGTATTGAAAAATCAGAGGGTGGGTGATTTATCACCATGGACCAATCAGGTTGTGTTACACAGCACAGTACCCTCGGGTTTAACATGTTTTCAGGCACTGGGATTCTGAGTGGGAGGTGGCTCCTTGCTTTAAATCCTTCCAACAGCAGCCACTTCTCTCACCAATGTGCAGTTTAGGGTGGAAGTATCCCTTTATAACTAAAGTAACGCCTATCAGGGAAAGACAGCCATATAAATACTCTGCAGGTAATAGAGAAGATGGACTTTATATACAGTAAAAGATTAACCAATATAATATGGACTTTTTGCAGAGTTGGCTGGCAGAAGTCGAAGGAAGACTTCCTGTCCGCAATGACAGTTCCCGTCGGCAAAGTGGCCTGTATGAAACGCAAAACACTGCTCCAGTCAACAATTGTGCACAGGACCGGGAGAGGTACAGTATACTGAGTGTGAAGACAGAACTCTATGGGTTTTCTAAGCTGTTTGCTTTCAGACTCTTGCTCTTTAATTGGAAACTTTGTACAGAGCTGTACAGAGGGAAGGGAGAGGATTCGCTACCCTGATTTATTCAATTGCATGTGGAAATGTCAACTTAACCACTTGCCTACTGGGCACTTTTACCCCCTTCCTGCCCAGGCCAATTTTCAGCTTTCAGCGCTGTTGCATTTTAAATGACAATGGCGCGGTCATACAACATTGTACCCATATGAAATTTTTATCATTTTTTTTACACAAATAGAGCTTTCTTTTGGTGGTATTTAATCATCACTGGGTGTTTTATTTTTTGCACTATAAACAAAGACCAAGAATTAAAATGCATAGCACTGTTGGGCACTTTTGGGGCTGCACTGATAATCAGCGCTCTGATTATCAGTGTAGATTTCTGTTTTTACAGTTGCCGGTTATCGGCATTACTTACAGTATGAGGAAAGTACTGCCAGTAACCAGCAAGTGTATTTACATGGTGAACAGCTGTGATTGGACACAGCTGATCGTGTGGAAAAAGGCTTCTTTGATTGGCCCTTTACCTTGTCATTTGATCAGCTGTGTCCAGAGGACACAGCGATCACAGACAGCGCCGGGTACACGGCACTGGGGGTGTGTTCTGGGAGGACATTGCATAACACCCTCCCAGAACTGGGCAACCGCACTGTAGCCTTCATTCGGCTATAGCATGGTTAAGAAGGGGTTAAGCTCAACATCTAATGCCTTCCAGGCTCTAATCTTCATATCACCTCATCATTATGCATTGCTGATACTGAAGACAAGACGGCATACACATTCAGTGTTGTACCTACTTTCCTCCAAGTATTCAATGGTTTGAATTGTAAGCTTGATGTATTTTTCTACACCACATTGCTTTGTATTATGGTTTACACTAAATCCCGTCTGCAAAACGGAAAGTAATGTTTCATGTCTGTGTTCTGGCTGTGCTTTATAGCTGTATATGCTCTATATGCTATCTTGTCTATTCTGATATTAATAAAATATTTTTTTGGAAAAAAAAGAAGGGGTTAAGCTATTGAGCTTTGCAGACAGCGAGTTTATTTTTAACAGAGGAACTAAAGGGAACTTGGAATCTCTAAGATATAAGGACGATATACCCTCATGTCCTGTGTAGGTGGTGGGTGTCAGAAGGAACTGAAAATCTTCCCAGTGAGAGCACAGGCAGTGATAAAACACATATTCTAGTAGAGTGTAGAAGGTATACAACCTCTACCAGGATTTTACTGTGGTCTGTGATCCCAGGAGACAATCTCCTCCTTTCCCATTTCAGCAACAGGCGTTGGGCAGAACAGCTATAGAAAATCCCTCTATGGTTGCACAGATGGCAATTACAGTTTCATAAAAAAAAATGTCTTCAGCGTGAACACCAGCTGCAGTGAAACCTGACAAAAGAGTTCAATCTCCTGCCCGCCCTTCCCAAAACCAAAAGTTTTGAATGCCATTGAGCTTTAAAACATTTCCCCTGTCATTTAGCTTAGATAGCCTGATGATGTTTCTGCTCACACTGCAACATCCTCTGGTGGTTCTGGAGTCTGTTGCTATAGTGATTCTATGGTTTTCTCTCTTGAGCAGCCCAGATGGCAGTTACACAGAAGATCAGAGCCAGGAGACGGAAGTGAAGGTGACACCCACAGAGTTCGATGATGATTTTGATGACGAGGAGCCCCTGCCCACAATAGGAACTTGTAAAGCCTTATACCCCTTTGACGGTAATGCCCTCATATTTTGGTACACTTCGATCTACATTTAATTTTACGGTGCTGACTCTGACCATGTCCCACTAGGTGAAAATGAAGGAACCATATCTGTAGCAGAAGGTGAAATACTGAATGTCATCGAGGAGGACAAAGGAGACGGATGGACACGGATTCGCAGGAGCGAGGAGGAGGAGGGTTATGTTCCAACATCTTACATCGAAGTTTATTTGGACAAAAATGCCAAAGGTGCCAAGACTTACATCTAACCTCATCTGCCTGTCTGTCTGTAAAAGGGGCTTTACCCTCAACAATGTGTGTGTCCCTTGGCACCTGCTTACTTGTCCCAGTGACTGGCTTCGGTTAGCTTGGTCCTTGGCACGCGGTGTATAAAGAACAGTAAAGGGAGCTAGAGCTGTATGGCCCATTTCCTAACTCAAAAGTCTATAACAACTTGTATTTCATCCACCTAAACCCCATTTGTAGATGTGTCTATAGTTGCAGAAAGATTGAGTCCATGGAATTATGGTAGATTTGATCTCATTGACCAAGCTTCCATGCAAATAACCCCTTTGTAAAATGTCCTGCCATTTATCATTTGTCAACGAGTATAGATCAAGATGGTGTGTAGATACGTTGTGACAGAGTTTTTGAAGGATGAAAGAAAGTCTACTTATCCAAAAAGGTAGAGAGCCTTAAGGTGGAAGGCTGACGGTGGCTACAGACCTACGTAAAAGTTGAGAGTTGACTTACAATTTCTCGATTACTAGATATTTCTTTACCCCAAAGAGCCTATAGGCACAGGTCAGAAAAAGTAGGCTGTTAGCCTAAAAGTGCAAACTGGCTGACTTTTGACCCAAGGCAAAATGTCTACTGAAGATTCTTATAGCTTCAGAAACCTGGACAAAACTGTGAATAGGTTATATTTAGAGGTCTTAACAGTCCTGCTATTAGAAAGTATGGAAACATTTTTGTTTATGCTGGAGTACTTCTTTAACCTGGGCAGGTTATTCATTTACTGTGGAGAAGGTAATTGCCAGTGATTAATTGAAAATCCAAAAGTTGATCTTCTTTCTTTAAATATTTGATGGTTTTACAGCCAAATGAGTTGACCCATTGGCCTGGAGACAGGGGAGATTGAAGCCCCAGTAGTAAAATGTACTCCATCTTGAAGCCAATAGCTTTTAAAATTCTAGCCTCTGTGGGGCACAGTATCATCAGTTTTGGTTAACGCTTTTAATAAAACTGGTTCAGAACAAAGAGAAGGGCAGACAAGGAAGGATTTTCATTCCTGGAACATGTAGACACACAAGGTATGGGTTAACAGCAAATATTACACAATCAGGGAAAAGACGGCACCATGGTATATCAGCTAAAATGTAAATTAATTATTGAAATGAACATTCTTTATTTAAAACAGTGGCTTGCAGCTGTATGAAATTCCAACATGGTTTGACGTTGAGCCATGACTAAGGCCTGACGGCCTAAACGCATTGACTTTTCATATGTTATATTTTTTAAATAAGGAATGTATGTTTTCGCCGATATACTATGGGGCCAGCTTTTCCCTATGATTGTCTAAGCTTTGGAGGTTTCCGGAGCCCTTCCAGCCTGAGCACCTGGGTTCTGAAGGTGTGGATGATTCAGGAGGTGGTAGCTCTGTCCATCTGTTCCAACACCAAATATTAATAGTGCATTGCACCTTTAAGATAACTTATACCACCACTCTTGGATTCCCCCTTTTTATCCTGAAGGAAGAGAACTGAATGGATAGTTAACAGCAATATATACTAGTAGCACCCCAAGAGCCATTGGATCTCAAATAATGATACCACATCCCTCAGAGGCCAGGATTGGCTGAAGCTATCAGCACCTGGCTCGAGTGAAGTGCAAATGGTTTCCAAAAACTTTCCTGACTGTGAGCCCATGGGTGCACGTAATGGACGTGACTCAGCTCTGTTACTGAACAAAGATGATATAGTGGTCCTGTATTTTTTCTGCGCCTGGAGCTGCAGAGATCTTTTGCTTTGTTGCATTACATGATTATAGCAAACGGACCTTCATATCTGTCACGAATCTTACTCATATTCTACTGGATGTCCAAGTGAAGATTGCTTTTTTCATGAGCATTTTGAGCGGTCTTGGTCATTTGAAAGGCAGAAGATTTCCAGCAGTCTCTTATCTCACAATGCTACAAACTTACAGAAAGGATCATTTTCAAAGCTTGCTGCCTATTTATAGTGTATCACTGGCAATGCCAAACACTTTATTGTACTTGTTCTAAAATCTGCCCAACTACAGCCATGTACTTTAAACTCCATCCATTGGTGTGTATTTATCATAAGGTATAAATTGGCAACCTCATTCTATTTTTTTGGTATAAAATAATTATAGAGATTGTATATAAAACTCCAGAAATTATTTATCTCATAGAAGATATATGTTTAATAGTAATGATATAGTGCAAGCACAGGTAATCCATGGCTTCCCAATGTGATGGAGCAATGTTCTGCTATGCAGTTAGTCATAATATAGGTTTGTAATGTTGAAGATTCTCTAATATAGTGAAAGAACCTTGATTGTTTTGGGGGATTTCCATTATATTGAAAGCCTATTGCCAAACGTCCATTTTAACAAACTCCCTGTGCCTGTTATAGGACAGAAATTTCAAAATTTCCTATATGGGCAGATTTTCCTGTCTGGATGGCATTGGCTCTGTTATCTAAGATTCTGATTTATTTTCATGGGAAAGATAAAAGGGTAGAGGCATCACCTACATCTTTCCTGTAGGATCTACTGTATCTTTCCCAGACTTAAGACTGTTTGTCCAAGTAGCCATGTACAGAAACCTAAGAAATGTTTTCTACCAAGCGTTTAATGACACTAAAGGTTGACAGAGACAACAGCAAATGGTCTTTTAAATTCAGCAATTGTTAGACAGGGAGTTTCAGAACCCTTCATTACATCGGCTGGTTCACTAAAATAATTACAACTGAAAAAGAAATTGGGGCTTTCTGGGACAGCACCCAAGGATATAAATTCAACACATGAATTCAAATAATGATTTCCCAGTAAGTTTAGGAGAATCACATATGATGCGCAATAAACTTTTTTTTTTGATGCATTACAAAGACCACTTATATATTAACATTATATGGAGTGTCCCATTTCTCAGGTAACAGATTGCAGTCAATGCCTTTCATAGATCACTCTACTTCATCAGGACTGGCAGTGAAAGGGTCACAAGACATCCTTACAATTCCATTGATTTCAGTTTAGCAATCACAATGAGTTTATGACATCATATGGTTACAGCAATTTAACACTACACTCATTTCCACTCTGCAATAGCTATTGAGTTACTCTTCTTCAGGCTCATTCCTATTCTGTGGATTGGGAAGGAAGGAGGTCTCCTCCAATACTACCATTCCTTTCTGTGGATTGGGACAGGAAGGAGGTCTCCTCCAATACTACCGTCCTGGAAGGAAGGAGGTCTCTCTCCAATACTCCAGCTTTAGTGGATTGGGAAGGAAGGAGGTCTCCTCCATACCGGCTCATTCCTATTCTAATTGGGGAAAGAAGGAGGTCTCCTCCAACACTACCATCTTGTGACAGGACAACCTAATGTTCTCTACTCTTGTGTCCTATAGATAAAATAGCTGTTTCCTTGTGGAAATAAATGTAGCTGTAGATTGCTGTAACCACGTGATGCCATAAACTTATTGTGCCCACTGTACTGAGACCAATGGAGTTGCATAGATGTCTTGTGGCCCTTTCACTGCTGGTCCTGATGAATGGGGGCTATCTATCTAAGAAAGGTGCTGACCGCATCCTGTTAGCTGTGAAATGGTACATTCAGTACAATGCAAATATATCCGTGATTATTGTATTGTGCATTATATGTGATTCTTTTCATTTTGTTTTTAAATGGTAAGATTCCATAGAAACCTTCAGTGCCAGCTTATCAGGGCTTAAAAAAAAAAAGGGAAACCAGACCAATCTCCTCTTATCTGTTTTTTTTTTTTTGAAAAAGCTGGCCATACATGGAGCTGCTGAACCAGCAGACATTTGATCTATTTTTAGCAGGCTGATTGTATCTAAGTATATCCATTGATCGACTTTGGTACAACCAGCCTGTCAGATTTATGACATTCAATTACTGCCAGCAGCTATAGCCGCTAACAGTAATCCTTGTGTTCTGCTGGCTGGGAAGGCTCCCCACATCCCCCTTCCCCCATCGGCAGAATATAATAGGGCTGCTGGAGTCATTCCTCCATCAACACTGACTGTTGATGGCAGGATTGAGTGATTTTCGTATGGTGAAAGGAAAGAAAATCGAGTCATCTATGGTACAAGTGGTTTGTCACAAAATGCACAAAATGGAGCTGTCTGTAACGTCATATCTATGGGTGCCTTAAAATACCTTGTCGAGAACACAGGGCAGGAAGACACTTGCCTATTCTTGAACAAGTGATAGGAACCCTTTGTAATACCCAGCCAGCATTGACAGTGTTGCACACTTTTTTTTGTTTCTTCCCTATTCTTCATAGAAAATTGAGGGGCTGGTTGCCTCTCACCTTTAGATTGTCCATCTGGCTGGAAAGGACTGTGCTGCAGCAAATCTGATGCTCCCATTATTGCCCCCTATGGAGGTCAGAAACAGCCCAGTCAATCAAGCAACATTGGAACTGAAGCAACACATGAAATGATTGAGCTATCCTAAAGATGACCACACAGATTACAATTTGATTGGACAATCTTGGTACAATCAGCTTTAGCTTTACCATACAATGCTAGCGCCTACCTAAACAATCTATTCAACAGATATCCGATGAGGCAGACCCTTGCCCTACATAGTTGGTAATTATAAAGGTAATAACAGAACCACATTGTGACATGTCCCCCCCAAATTTAGACCACTGCATTATGTTGTTAGCTGTTTAAATTTAAAGCAGTATTAAGCCCAAAAGCGAAAATTTATTGTATAGAAGCTTACCAATCATTAGGTGTGGTAGCTGCATTCATTTTCTTTTTTAAGGCTTTTATTCCTTTGTTCTCACCCTGAGGTGTGGCCAGTATGTCTGTTACTTTGTGCTTCAACTTTATTTAATAGTCCAAGGTGTCCAGCAAAAGTATTTGGCCTCGTTTACACCATGGTGCAGAGATGTCAGTTTTTCTGCATGCGGTCTGCAAGGGCACCAACAAAATCAATTGTTCTCTATGTGCCCTGTTCACACCACAACGCTGACATCACCTGCAGATTTTTCCT